ATTTCACTTGATACCCTCCAGCATATCTACTACTCCCCCTAGCGTAGTGTCATCTGCAAGGCCATTTTCCAGTTCCTCATCCATTCATATCTCCAGGCTGAGTTTCACTGGGTGGTGTCCACTGGCTCTTTGTACTCATTCGAGGGCACTGTCTGGTGTATTCAGCTTGGTGTCTCCCATTAGTGTGCTCATTTTGAACTTCTGACCTTCACTCCTGACTATTTTGTCCTTTAGTTGACCCAAGCCATTAGTGATGTGCCCTCAGTGGCCCCCCTCATCAAGGGGGGGGCACTTATAGGTCTACTTAGTGGGCTTTGGCCCACTTTCTGGAGTGGCAAATCAATTAGGGCCTGACAGGTGAAAAGGGGGTGGTGCTGTTTACCTGCCTACCTATTTCACAAGATATTCTTGGCAGCTGATTGGTTAATGCGTAAGGCAGTTTGAACATGCAAAATGCTTCTTCTATTATTATTATTTCTGATAAATATGAGTAATAAAGTCTTTACTAATTGCTGTCTGTAGCCACAACTGTACCAAGACAGCCACACCTGTCTTTTATTGAACTGTCATACAGCCACAGGCCAATGACTGCTTCTCTGATTGCCCACCTGTTATGATAGTTCTAATATGCTCTTTTTGGCATGAAACTCTGTTCTTTCTGCATTACAGAAGAGATCTATCTTCCAGATTCATTCCTGTTAACTTTTGGCAGCAGCAAAACAAACAGAAGCAGATGGCTGCACTCTCAGCTGCTCCATTTTACTGTTGCTGCTGTTCAGAAAACCATACTAAAAAAAATTAAAATTCTCATTACTGTACTAGATCACATGATCCACCCTAACTTTTGGCCATTTTCCTTACTAGATAAGCATATTCTTCAACTCTACCCCCTCATTTTTTTCAACTACTTATTTGATCATGTCTTAAGTTTCCTCTCCAAGCAGCTCAAAAATGGAAGCAGAATCTAAAAGTATAGTGTTTCAAAGTAATGAAAATAAAGATTTATAAAAACCTCTAGACTATTATACATTTTTTACATATAGAATCTGCAATTCGCTGAAATTTGACAGATACAGCTTCTCATCCATTATTGCACTGCAGAATTATATTTCATTGTTTTGAAGCAATGAATATCATGTTAGAGATCTGATTAGTGCTAGTGTCCTGTTTCTGACAGAATTTCCATGTTTTCCTGTCTACTTGTTGGTACTCTACTCTTGATCACCCCATCATCTCATTACTACTCTGCATAATCCAATCCACAGACAAACCAGATAGGCATACTAACTCCAAAGCAAGTATATAATATTCATATCAGATACAAATATTTTTAATGTTGAGACAGGCATCTTGTGACTATAAAGACTATAGAATACCTGAAAGTTAAGGCTAGACAGCCATCAGAAATCAGAAGGAATGATAGCAAGTGATGAAGGAGTACATGGTAGAGGGGAACTGGATAATCCTGTATCTTTTTATTTATTAGTAGAAGTGGAGTAAAGTAATTCTATTACTATAATATTTTTGGCTTTCACAGTTAATTTTGTTTTAGACAAAGTTTTTGGTTGTTGAACACTTCTATTTTTGCAGTTTTTTAAACAAATCCCAAATACATAAGGAGTTTTGGTATGCAAGGTCTATGGGATCTAAGGATCCAACAAGCTTTTGAAACTTACTATAGGTTTCACTCCTGCAGATTTTAGGGAGTCACTGGGAAGCTATGACAAGGGAGATGTCAATGGAACTTGGAAATAAGGGACAAAGGAGGGAGAGACCATTTTATGCACTTGAAGTTTTATAAGTAAAAATATTAAATGTATTAAGTATAAAGTGGATAAGAGATTCTAAGTATAATTAATCAAGGCAGATTATGACCAGTTCAGCAGAGAGTCTGGCTAATGCTTAAAAGTCAGAAGGCAGAGTAGATATGAACAGAGACTGACATTGATATAGAGAAAGCACAAGTCTGTAGGTGGGATAAAGTTAAATAAGCTTTCTTCTTCATCAGGTCTCTGATCACAGGAAGCCAGGCACAGCAAAATCAAAAATAGCTGAGGGGAGGAGCTAAGAGAAATTCTCAGGGGTAGCATAGTTAGTAGAAGAAAAGCAGCTGCCACTACTATCAACACACCCCATTAAAAAAACAAAACATCAGAGTACATAGTTCCTATATAATGCCTTTTCCAGAATGTTATACCTGATCCAATGCATCAATGCCCTCATGGCAACTATGTGGGTGATAAACAGTGAATTGTAAACTGTTAATTATGTCTGCTACTTCTGAGAATTTCTCTCAGCCCCTCTCTGCTGGTTTTTCTCATGCTGTGCCTGGTTACCTGTGACTGATCAGAGACCTGATGAAGAACATCTTTAATTGGAAAGCTTGTCTGACTGTATCCCAGCTATGCAGTTGGTCCAATAAAAGACATCACCCTAAGAACTCCTTGCCTCTTACATATTTTCTGGACCATCATGGCTACAACATCCCTCTTACGCTTAAAGTTAAGAAGCTTTTATATGTTGCATTAGATGGGAAAAAGATGACAGTCACAGGAAAGTTATTTTTTACTGAAGTTTTGAATAGACCTAAAAATGTTAAGATAGTTATTGTAAAGGTCAGAGATAAAGTTGTAGTAAGTCAGGTGCTAGATAGCAAGGACCTGGTTAAGAATCTTTTTTTTTTGGTGGAAAATACAAAAAGGTCAGAGCTTGAAAACATTATAGAGGAAGAAGACAGTTTCAATATGATTTAGACATGGGCATCCAAGAGAATAAAACTGACTGCTTTCCTACCAGAACAGTCTCTGTACAAAATGCAGTGATGGCTGCATATAGAAACAAAGGTGTGCTAGGTAATGTGGGGTAGCATAAAATTAAGTGGCTTAGAACTGGGTAGGGCAGTTCGTAAGTGGCATCTGCACACAAAATTAACTAATGTAAGAACAAAAGGTGGTATGCAATTAGCTTGGATCTGGATAATAAGCAGGTAAGCAAGTTGGAAGGTACTAGAGTCTCTTGTATTACTGAGCAGTATTCTACACGAATGTATGTCTTCTGCAAATGAAAATGCAACACTCCCACATTGTCATATAATGTTGACAAACATGAGTGCTAAGCCTCTACATATTCCTCCTCCTAGCCTGTCCTTGCCACTAATTTCATAAACTGCTGATACTCCAGAATCTCTTTTTTTCACTTTTCTCTTCCTACCCATCTGATACAAGCAAACCTACCAGCTTTTTCTCATGGTAACTTCCAACCCTCATTTTCTAGAATTCTATCTACAACCAATTACCCAGAGAGGTGGTGCAGTCTCCATCTGTGGAGGTTTTTAAGGCCCGGCTTGACAAAGCCCTGCCTAAAATGATCTAGCTGGGGCTGGTCCTGCTTTGAGCAGAGAGTGGACTAAAATAATCTCTTGACATCCCTTCCAACCCTAATTTTCTATGATGGGGGGGATCGTTTTGGGAAATGCAGCCTTTGCTCCTGTTTGTTTCCTCAGCCTATGCCCCTCTACACTGACTTCAAGGGGCAGTAAGTTAGTATTTCTCAGGCCTCTCTGCAGTCACCGAAGAGCAGTTTAAGTTCTGTCAAGGCTTCCTCTCTTAAATCCGAGAACTGAGACAGGCCTAGCCTGGAAAGGGCTCCGGGGGAATGGTGCATTCCAGCCAAGCAGAAACAGCTCCACAAACCGCGACTATAACCAGCAGCAGCGAGTCTTCAGTAAGGACCCATGCCCAGAGACCCTCCCACACGCAGCGCAGCAAGAAGCTCCCCCTGCAGGCGACCACTGCGCCTGCGCAATCCCAGCAAGTTCACCCCGCACTGCGCCTGCGCACACCCCGTACAGAGTTCTGAGTCAAACCGGGCACGGAGCGGGGGCGTGAGTGGCTTCTGAGCGCGCCCCATGTGCATCCGGGTTACGCCGGTGTCACCACGCTTCGTGCTGTGTCCTTGGGGTTCTTCCGGGGTGCGGCTTCCGGTGTCCACCTC